GACTAGAACTTTCCCCGAATGTGCTTCAAGGCGAAATCCTAAGTTTTGCTTGGTTTGAGAAATGATTGTAGGCTTTCCTCGGTCCGTTTGAGCTTTCTATTGCCAACCAATGTCGTTATACCTAGTCAACCCCCTTCGAGTCACTAGCCTTTCTCATTTGGCAGCCGAACTTTCTTTAACACTCTTGTGAAATAAGTAGCTTAAAGCATAAGTTTGAGGGATAGATGAGGAATTTGAGAAAAAGTGTCAAGGCACAAAAAGCGAAAAGAAATGATCTCTATGGAAAGAGAAGACAAGAAAAGAAAAAGAACAAAAAGAAAAATGCAAAAAAGAGAATAAATGGAAGGGTTGATGGATTCAAAAAGAGGTAATGATCCCTAACATGAGCATCAAGGGAGAAAAAGAATGAAATGAACAAGAAAGAGTGATGTCAAGTCTCTCTAGCCCCCAATAAAAAAAGAGAATGCCTTTAAGGATTGGTAATTGTGAGCCGAGTAATGAAAATGTGGAGTGCTTAAGGAAAGGTGTAACCACTTACCCATATAGTATCCTACCCTAATCCAAAAGCTCTCATTACAACCCTAAATAAGTCCTACTTGATTTCGAACCGAGTGCACTTACATGAGTGGTGATCTACATGAGGGGCAAGCCTATGGTACTTGAAGCCGTACTTGTGACATTCTCTTGTGAAAGAAGAGTGAATCTTTCATGAATCTTAAGATTGAGTGCTAACTTTTTAAGTGAGCTTGGAAAATGGAAGGTAGAGGAGGAAGACTTTGGAGTCCACCATGACCCACATGATAGAACAAGAGTCCTTGATTAGTAAAGTCAATTCTTGAAACTCAAATGTCACATTAGAACTATATGTGCATGAATATTTGATTAGTCACCTTGTTGATAATGCATGAGTAATGTGGGTAATTGTTGGTCCCAACTGAATATGAATGACTCACCATTAACTCGTTGAAATGACCTTTCACTTTGAGGAGGTGGGAACTAATCTATTTGCTTGAGGACAAGCAAAGACTTAAGTTTGGGGGAGTTGATAAGTGAGGATTTTGACCACTTATTAGTACCTTTTTACTTTTGTTCTAGTCCGAAAGTATTTATTTATGTTCCCAAAACTAATGAAAGTGTGCAAATTGCAGGAATGTTGGAAATTTGGGCTCTTATGAAGAAATCCGACTAAAAAAGTGGTGTTCCAACTCACAAGGCAAGAAGGGGCACAACATACTGGAAGTGCAGTCCGTATAAGTATTTCTGCGACCACAGAAGAAAGTGTGGACCACAGAATTCCCTCCGCGACCACAGTACTGATGAAGAAACCCAACAGTACTTGAAGCAGAAGTGCAAATCGCACATAATTTGTGCAACCACAGAACATGGTCTGCACTGACAAGAATTCAAAAAGTTCAGAGAGTGTGCAACTGACCAAGACTTGAAGCCTTGCCTGAAGTGCGGACCGCACATAAATTATGCGGCCGCAGAAGCTAAATCGCAGCCGCAGACGAAATTGTACGGCTGCAAAATCCATTCCCCTCCAAACTCAAGCAATGTATGGACCGCACATGGAATTGTATAGCCGCAGAACCATATTTTTGAAGTTCTAGCAGCTGTAGCTGTTGTAATTTTCCATTTTAGGAATTTTGTGATCATTTTGGGATAACAATATCATAGTTTATCATTTTAATTTTATATTATGGGTTTAATTAGTATTTCATCTTTGCTTTCTTCATTTTCTACTATGAGTAGCTAGACATTTACTAGGGTTGTGACCCAACCCTGGTATGTAAACCTTATGGGTATTTTATTTAATGCTTGTTTATGATTGAGTGTTGATTATTTAGCCTTATTTATGCTTTAATTTGAGAATTAATTGTTGTTGCAAACATTGATTCATGCCTTTTTGACTTAGTTTTTACTTGAGAAAGAGGGACCTAGTCTAGAAAAATTTGGTTATTAAGAAATTGGGCTAATTGAGGATTTGACTAGCCTAATTAAAGGGTTTGAACTAGAGATAGGAAAAATTCGACTTGAGCTCATATCAACTATTTAGCATGATACCCATTTGGGCTTGAGAAAGCCAAATTGAGCAAAATTACTCTATGACCGAGAGGTAATGAGTGGGACCTAGTCTTCCAATGACTGTTTCCACTCACTATTGAGTGCGATTAGATGTGGATCAGCAGACCAGCCGCACTATATATACTTGTACTAGTTTTCATAAGGTTTATTCGGGCTAGTGTTGGAGAGATTGGTGCCTGCCTTCGTTGTGGTCAGATAGGACATTACAAGAGAGATTTCCCGTGCTATAAAAAAGGATTTAGCGAGGCATCAGCACCAACGAATGCCACACCAGCTAGCTCTACAACCCAGACAGTTAGGGAGGATTGAAGATTAGCACGTAGAGGCGCTAGAAATGAGGGCCCGAGTAGTAGAGGATCGAGAGTTGCCAAAAGAGGTCAATTCCGAGTGTTTGCCTTTACCAGGAAGGATAAGCAGGCATCTAATGCAGTCATCACAGGTACGCTCTTAGTGTATCCACGTAATGTTACTACATTGACTGACCTTGCATTGGCCTATTCTTCTATGTTTATATGATATCGTAGAATTTAACACATAATATGATGTCCCTGTAATACTTTCGGTGTGTTCATTTGACGCGATTGCGTTAATTGACCCTGGATCTACCCATTCCTTTATGTCCCATATTTTGCTATGAGGTTTAACAGGCCTCCAAAGTTGTTGTCAGACCTTTTTGAGTTGCTACACCAGTTGGGGAATCATTACTAGTTGAACGAGTGTACTAATCTTGTTGAATTTGTATCGAAGGGAAGGATAACTTAGCAGACTTAAATGAGCTAGACATGGTAGATTTTGATGTAATCATGGGCATGGATTGGCTAGCTTCATGCCAGACAATCGTTGATTGTCATTCTAAGACAGTTCAATTCGACATACCAGGTGAGTCAAGTTTCGTTCTACATGGTGACCACAAACCAGCTTCGAACAGCCTAATATCATTCATGAGTGCGAATCAAATGTCAAATAAGGTTTTCTAGGGATATTTGGCGTTTGTCAAAGATACGAACATTATAGTACTAGAGTTAGAGAAGGTTCATGTGGTTAGAGAATTCCCTGACGTGCTTCCGGAAGATCTACCTGGGTTACCGCCTATTAGGGAAATTAACTTCGGTATTGATCTAGTACCTGGAACACAGCCCATATCGATACCTCCGTACCGAATAGCACCAACCGAGTTGAAAGAATTGAAAGAACAACCGCAAAATCTATTAAATAAAGGTTTCATTAGACCGAGCACTTTGCCTTGGGGCACACCAGTTCTGTTTGTAAAGAAGAAGGATGGGTCCATGAGACTATGTATAGACTATCGACAACTGAACAAGGTCACGACATGTAATAAATACCCGCTACCGCGTATTGATGATTTGTTCAACCAACTCCAGGGTGCAAGGAGATTCTCAAAGATTGACCTACGGTCAGGATACCATCAGCTACGCATCAAGGGTGAAGACGTCCCAAAGATGACCTTTCGAACTAGGTATGGACACTGTGAATTTTTAGTGATGCCTTTTGGGCTGTCGAATGCACCAGGGACATATATGGACATGATGAACATGGTGTTCATGCCGTACCTGGACAAATTTATAATTGTATTTATCGATGATATACTTGTATATTCTAAGAATTATGACGATCGTGAACAATATTTGAGGATGATACTATAGACACTCAGAGAACATAAACTATATGCTAAGTTTTCTAAGTGTAAATTTTGGCTAGATCGAGTTTCCTTCCTAGGTCATATTATATCCGAGGAAGGGATCTTAATTGACCCAAAGAAAGTGGAAGCGATACATAAATGTCCGAGGCCAACCATCGCAACCGAGATATGAAGCTTCTTATGTCTTGCTGGCTATTATCAACGTTTCGTGCAGGATTTCTCAAAGATAGCATCACCTTTGAGGAAGCTGACCCAAAAGCATGTGAAATTTCAAGGGTAAGATGCATGCGAGCGAAGTTTTCAGAAACTCAAGGAATGTTTAACAACAACTCCGGTAGTGGTGCTTCCATCCGAAACCGGAGGATTTTTAGTATATTGTGATGCTTCCCGAGTGGGAGTTGAGTGTGTTCTTATACAGAATGGACAAGTCATAGCTTATGCTTCGAGACTATTGAAGAAGCATAAACAAAATTATTTGGCACATGACTTAGAGTTGGACGAAGTTGTATTTGCACTCAAACTTTGGCAGTATTATTTATATGGAGAGAAATGCGAGATCTATACCAATCACAAGAGCCTCTAGTATATCTTCCAACAAAAAGATTTGAACCTCCAACAATGAAAGCGGATGGAGCTACTAAAGGATTATGACTGCACAATAGTGTATCACCCAAGCAAGGGTAACTTGGTGGCTGATGCGTTGAGCTTAAAGTTTATGGGTAGTTTGGCTCATGTTGCACTAATAAGGAGGAACCTAGCAAAAGAAATCCACAAATTGAAAGATTGTGGAATAAACTTTAGTTTGGGACAAAAGGGCTTATTATTGGCACATATTCAAGCAAGATCATCATTAATAGAGGATATCAAGGCGAAACAATATTTGGATTTGAAGTTGTGCAAAATCATAGATGACATTACTGCCCGTAAGAGTAAAGATTTTACTCTAGATAGTGATAAGGTAGCAAGTATACAAATGGAACCTTACAAGGCGCTATACGAAAGATGATGTCGGTATCCCACTGGTTGGTTCGAGGTTGGCGAGACAAAGGTATTGGGTCCAGATTTGGTACAATCAGCACTTGAAAAAGTTCAATTAATCAGGCAGAGGTTGCTAGCTACTCAGAGTAGACAAAAAGCTTAAGCGGACAAGAGGCATCGAGAATTAGAATTTTCGGTATATCATGTTTTCTTATGGGTCTCACCGATGGAAGGTGTTTTAAGATTTGGGTAGAAAGGAAAGTTAAGTCCTAGATACATGGGACCATATGCGATACTTGGCAAAGTTGGTGCCGTGGCGTATCATTTGGCACTTCCACCAGAATTATCCTCTGTTCATCATGTATTTCATGTATCTATGTTGCGAATGTACATTTCATACCCTTCTCATGTGCTTCAAAATTCGAATCTTCAATTATATGAGAATTTGACTTATGAAGAGGAGCCAACAATTATTATCGATAGACAAGTGAGAAGGCTTCGATCGAAAGACCTTATGACTGTGAAAGTTGTATGGAAGAATCATCCTAGTGAGGAGGCGACATGGAAAGACGAGAAAGTGATGCAAACCAAATATCCTCATTTGTTTGAATCTGCAGGTATGTGTTTATTTAAAAATTCGGGGACCGAATTTTCGTAAGGATGGGGAAGAATGTAATGACAAACAAACTAGGCCTTGGCCCATGAAACCAATGAAGTTAATAAGACAAGTGGCCCACCAGCTCTTAGCCTATTAGGTTTTAAATTAGAGGAAATAACACATAGTGCCTATCAAGGCCAAAATAATTACTCGGTGTTGCCCACTTGAAAATAAATTACAATTCCTACGTATACAGCACAAACTTATTACTGGATTATTCAATTTCCTATTTCCTCTTTAATTTTCTTTACCTCACGTGAGGGGCATGTGGAAAATGCAAATCTATTCCCCTTTTTGTTTTATTTTATGAGTTTGAATCACATTACTTTTGACTATCTTTCCGTCTATGATATGTACTTTGAATGTAGAAAAATATATTAATAATTATTTGAAAAATAAAAATAAAAATGAAATAAGGCATTCGCAGTGAGAAAAATGGACAAGAGGAATAAGTTGATCGGAGAAACTCCCGGTTGCCATGCATACCTCAATTTCAAAAGGATTGTCCTAAATTTTTGTCCAATTGTTGTCCACATTTTCAATAAATAAATAATAATATTTATTAACATTAATAAATAGCCTCCTCGACTGGTTGGCCCCTCCACTGAACCTTTACCGTGGAAATCCTCTTGGACCTCAGCTGGCGAACCTACTTATCAACAATGGCAACTGGCTCCTCCTCATATCCCAGGCTCTCATCTAGCTGAATCGTGATGAAGTCCAACACATGTGACATGTCGGCATGATACCTCCGGAGCATAGACACATGGAAAATCGGATGAACTCCCGATAGGCTGGGAGGCAAAGCAAGCTCATAAGCAACCTCCCCAACTCGTCTCAACGCCTCGAATGAACCTATAAACCTTGGGCTCAACTTGCCCTTCTTCTCGAACCTCATGATACCCTTCATCGGCGAGACTTTCAAGAGAACCTTCTCGCCCACCATGAATGATAAATCACGCGCCTTCTGATCTGCGTAACTCTTCTGTCTGGACTATGCTACGCGAAGTCGCTCCTGAATCAACGTTACCTTTTCCAAGACATCCTTCACCAAATCTGTACCATATAACTTAGCCTCGCCTGTCACGACCCAATTTCACCTAATGGTCGTGATGGCACCCAACATCACTGCTAGGCAAACCAACTAGTGAATTAAACATATATTTCCTCTTTTAATAAATTTTTGAGTAATTACAATTTCCTTACTTGCAAGATTTAACAAAAATAAAAAGTCTAAATAAATAAAAACCAAAATAATAATTTTAAGACCACAATTCTACTAGTGTATGTACCAAGACCTGATGTCACAAGTGAATGAGCATCTAGTAGATTATACAAAATTTCAAGTACTGTCTCGACATGATAGAAAGAATACAAATACAAAGAGAGACACTAGGTGCTGTGGAACGACTCAGGAAAGGCAGCTCACCACTAGGCCTCGGGATAACGGGGATGCGCACCGGTAGGACGGACCTGATGCAACTGTCTCAGATCCTGCACAAAAAGTGCAGCAAGCGTAGTATGAGTATGTAGACAACGTGTACCCAATAAGTATCACGTCTAATCTCGAAGAAGTAGTGACGAGAGGTCGACTTCGACACCCACTATGGGTCAATAATATTAAGATGAAGATTTTTAAATAAACATAGTTTATGTGAATAATAATAATTTCCTTAACAAGCAGAAATAAATAATTCTCTCATAATTTAATAATTTTCAATAAATCATTTATCTTCACAAGCTGAAATAAAATGTCAAAGCATCATGTAATTGTTATTATTAAGCACGATTTATGCCGAGGTCGTACGATCCGATCCAGAGAGAGGTGTACACTGCCGAGGGACATGCGGCACGATCCATAGATGCATCTATCTACTGCCGAGGCGTTCGGCCCACTCCACAAGAAGAGAAGGATATTTTACAAGCATTTGACTTAAACATTATTAATGATTTATATCCAATGTAATACAAATATCATTAACTACTTTTTAAAATTTCTCTAACAAGTTCTAATATAATTTAGGCATTTTAATTTAACAAGTATAGTGCAAAATTATAAATAGTTCATGAATTAGATCCTAATACTACCCGGACAATAGCATAATAGTAGGTACGCAAGGACTTTCGTCACCTCGTATGTACGTAGCACCCATAATTTGGAAAAAATATTTATTTAAAACACCTATGTGATAAATTCTCTCTTACAAGGTTAGACAAGAGACTTACCACATCTCAAAGGTCACTTCCCGATCACAATTTCGCGTTAAAGCCTCAATTTGGTGCCGAAAAATCCAAAACTATCCAAATGTTATATAATTTAATCAATACATGCTCAATAATTCAAAAATAAATTGTTAGATTAATTAACCAGCCCAAATTGGTAAAATTCCTAAAATTAACCCCGGGCCCACATGCCCGGATTCCAAAAATTTTCGGAGGAAATTGTCACCCACAACCTCAAGCACTCAAATATAAAATATTCATCCCATTTCATAACTATTTTCGTGGTTAAAATCTCATTTTTATCAAAACCTAGGTTTTTTTCTAAACCCTTGATTTCCACAATTTACATGTTATAATCTACCCATAATCTATGTATTTAACTCACAATAGGTAGAATTTACTTACCTCAAAGTTGCTAGGTGAAAACCCCTCTCAGGAAGCTCCAAAATCGTCTAAGAATGAAGAAAAAGGGGCTAAAATGGCTGAGCCCCGTTCTTTTAAACATTCTGCCCAACAGGTCTTTCATGCATGCGGCTCCGCTTCTGTGGAAAAATCCACGCAGGTGCGGTCCTCCCCCAGCTGGCGAAACTCCGCATCTGCAGCCTAAGGACCGCTTATGCGCGTCTGCTTTTGCGACGCTTCTTCCGCTCCTGTGGCTCTCGCCGCTTTTGCACCCTCTTCCTCCGCACCTACGCACTCGCAGGCACGCCAAAAACTCCGCTCCTGTGATCCATGGGTGTCCCTGGCTGGTCCGTTTTTGCGCCCTCTTCCTCCGAACCTACGCGCTCGCAGGCATGCCAAAACCTCTGCTCCTGTGATCCCTGGGTGTCCCTGGCTGGTTCGCTTCTGTGGCTTGTGGTTCACTTCTACGAGCTCGCACCTGCGGCTGGCCAAGCGCAGATGCGATTGCAGCAGAAGTTGGAAGCTTCAGCTGCTTCTCCTAAGTCCAAACTTGGTCCGAGCCTCGTCTGATTAACTCTCAAGGCCTCCGGGGCCCCGTCTGAACATACCAATAAGTTTGAAATCATAAAACGGATTCGTTCGAACTCTTGAAACGCGTAAAACAACATCAAAACTAATAATCATACCCCAAACCAAATCGATTCGACTTAGAAATTTTAAATTCTTCAAACTTATTCCGAACGCGCCAAAACATATTTACACTACTCAGAATGACACCAAATTTTGCGTGCAAGTCTTATATCACCATACAGAAGTATTCCCAGGCCCGGTATTCTAAACGGACCTCGATTACTCCAAAACCTACTCCAAACCAAATTTAAAGAACCTTAAAACCTTCAAATATCTAACTTTCACTATTAGGCATCGAAATGCTCTCGGGTTGTCCAAAACCTGATTTGAACATACACCCAAGTCCAAAATTATCATACGAACCTATTGGTACCGTCAAATCCCGATTCTGGGGCCGTTTACTCAAAATGTTGACCGAAGTCAAACTTTGCCTTTTTAAAGCCAATTAAGGAACCAAGTGTTCCGATTTCAACCTGAACCCTTCCAAATTACGAACTAACCATCCCCGCAAGCTATAAAATAATAAAAGCATATACGGGGAGTCTTATTTAGGGGAACGAGAATCTAGAAGGACAAACGACCGGTTGGGTCGTTACATTCTCCACCTCTTAAACAAACGTTCGTCCTCGAACGGGTTTAGAATCATACCTAGAGTGCTGAATAAGTGTGGATATCTGCTCCGCATGTCATTCTCGACCTCCCAAGTCGCTTCCTCGACTTGTTGGCCCCACCACTGAACTTTTACCGTAGAAATCCTCTTAGACCTCAACTAGCGAACCTGCCTATTGACAATGGCAATTGGTTCCTCTTTATAACCCAAGCTCTCATCTAGCTGAACCGTGCTGAAGTCTAACACATGTGACATGTCAGCATGATACCTCTGGAGCATAGATACATGGAAAATCGGATGAACTCCCGATAGACTGGGAGGCAAGGCAAGCTCGTAAGCAACCTCCCCAACTCGTCTCAACACCTCAAATGGGCCTATAAACCTTGGGATCAACTTGCCCTTCTTCCCGAATTTCACGATTCCCTTCATTGGCGAAACTTTCAAGAGAACTTTCTCACCCACCATAAATTATAAATCACGCGCTTTCTGATCCGCGTAACTCTTCTGTGTGGATTGTGTTGTATGAAGTTACTCCTGAATTAACTTTACCTTGTCCAAGGCATCCTTCACCAAATCAGTACAATACAACTTAGCCTCGCCGGGCTCAAACCATCCGATGGGCAAACGGCATCGCCGCCCATATAAAGCTTCAAATGGAGATATCTCGATACTGGATTGGTAACTGTTATTATAAGCAAACTATGCCAAAGGAAAGAAACGATCCCAATGACCTCCGAAGTCAATCATACATGCTCTGAGCATGTCCTCTAAGATCTGAACTGTCTGCTCCAACTGCCCGTTGGTCTGCGGGTGGAAACCTGTGCTGAGCTCTACACGGGTGCCCAACTCACACTGTACTGCTCTCTAGAAATGTGAAGTAAACTGAGGACCTCTATCTAATATGATAGAAATTGTAAGACCATGCAACCGTACTATCTGGGCCAACGTCTCTGAAGTATACATAGTCACAACTGGAATGAAGTGTGCCGACTTGGTCAACCTGTCGACAATGACCCAAACTGCATCAAACTTTCGCAAGGTCTGCGGCAACCCAACTATGAAGTCCATAGTAATGCACTCCCATTTCCACTCTGGTATAGTCATCTGCTGAAGTAGGCCACCTGAACTCTGGTGCTCATACTTAACTTGATGGCAATTTAGGCACCTAGCTACATACTCAACTATGTCTTTCTTCATCCGCCGCCACCAATAATGCTGCCTTAGGTCGCGATACATCTTTGTAGCACCTGGATTAATAGAATACCGAGAACTGTGTGCTTCTTCTAAGATCTTTTCCCTCAGCCCATCCACATTAGGAACACATAGACGAACCTGGAGTCGTAGAACACCATCTTCGCCAATAGTTACTTCCTTGGCGCTACCCCGTATTACCGTCTCTCGAAGAACCAACAAGTGTGGATCATCAAACTGGCGAGCCTTGATCCGCTCAAATAGTGAAGACTAGGCAACGACACATGCAAGAACTCGGCTGGGCTCTGAAATATCCAACCTCACAAGTTTGTTAGCCAAGGACTGAATGTCCAAAGCTAATGGCCTCTCCTTTACTGCAATGAAGGCCAAGCTACCAATACTCTTGCCTTTCTACTCAAGGCATCTGCAACTATATTTGCTTTGCTTGGATGATAAATGATAGTAATATCATAATCTTTTAGTAACTCAAGCCACCTGCGCTGTCTCAAATTGAGGTCCATTTTCTTGAACAAATTTTGCAAGCTGCGATGATCGGTGTAAACCTCGGAAGACACTCCATAAAGATAATGCCTCCAAATTTTAATAGCATGGACAATCACAGCTAATTCCAAATCATGTACCGGGTAATTCTTCTCGTGGGGCTTCAGCTGACGTGAGGCATATGCAATAACTCGCCCCTTTTACATTAATACATAACCCAGGCCAATGCGTGAAGCGTCGCAATACACAGTATACATCTCTGAACCGGAAGGCAACACTAACACTGGTGCTGAAGTCAATGCGGTCTTGAGCTTCTAAAAGCTCACCTAACAATCATCGGACCATCGGAATGGAGCACCCTTCTGGGTTAATCTGGTCAAAGGTGCTGCAATAGATGATAAGCCCTCCACAAACCGACGATAATAACCTGCTAACCCTAGAAAACTCCCAATCTCCGTCGCCGAAGTAGGTCGATGCCAATTCTAAACTGCCTCAATCTTTTTGGGATCAACTTTAA